TGCTAAGGAGCTGTGCAAAAGTACAACTACTTTTATCATGGTTTATAATCTCTAAATAACAATAGTAGCATCTTTGTTGATTTGACTTACGGAAGCCCCTCCTACGATATGCTAGACAATAGTGACCTCCATTGATGATTTTGTGCCTTTTATGAAATGCAATGAAGAATCAATAATTAATATTTGGAAGAAAAATACCTGTAGAATCTGTTGCTCCAGCTGTGTGTTTCCTTTACATAATTCTATTATCTGTTTTATTATAAGTTTTGTGCTTTCTGTTTTACCTGCACCACTCTCGCCGCTGAAACAGAATCACGTAGAATGTAAGCACAAACCATGAAATAATGTGATAACAACAAATAAATAAGTCTGTTATCAAATATTATAACTGTTTTTTTTGTATAACGTATTGGTGATTCACAGACACTAAAATTACAGCATATGCTAAGTTAGTGGGTTTTATTGCAAATTTGCTATGTTAAATCACTTTATATAGAATTGTCTAATGTTAGAATAGTTACAGACTCTCTTCTATTCAGCTGAACTAATATAAATATAAACAGATCACGTGTTGGTCAACAGAATAAAATTTAAATTTTTTTTTAAAAATAAAAACAAAAATATATCTTGCAGGTATTCATTATATCACCAGGCTTAACATCAATATCAGAGAATAAATGTGACACCAAAACAAAGATCAAGATTTTACATCCGAAAGTGTCATTGCTGCAGCAATTGTCAAACTTTTTTATTTGCTTTTGATGTGAGTTTCAATGCTTTTTATCTATGTACAAATGGCACTTTGATTGGCTGTCCAATTACAGAAGACAAACAAAGATAATATAAGCTTAACCGAGGCATATCATTCTGGTGTTGGATTTATTCTGTATGCTCCGGACTATGAAGGCGAGAATTTGCCAGTAATTTGCATATACACTTTTATTTATTTGTGCCAGAATGTAACCTTAGATATCTTATTATTCACAATCGTAACTTTCAATAATAATAATTTTTGACTCACGCAGCACCTGTTTGAATTTCATGTGAATAAACAATGTATTTTACATGCGCTGTGTACGTCGCTATGAGTCCCATATCGAACAAGACGGGGCGCGAGGACTACCATACTTTAACAATTCAAGGTGATTATCGTATGCATCAAATGACAAGAAAACTATTTTTACTATTTTGTCTTATTTGCATATTTTTGCAGTCAATTCCTGTACTTTATGAATTATGGATGTGTATTCTGTTTTTCTAATCAACTTTACAAGGGACACACAGACATTCAACGAATATCGACCTCTCACTAACCTTATTACAATGCACTGGTTCCTGTCCCTACTCGGCAGCAGTCCCATCATGGACTGATAAGCCGAATCCGCGATAGCAAAGAGATGGGGTGGTAAAGTACTTTTTTTGCCATGTTTGTAGAGGTCTGAATACTGAAATAAAAAAGAAATTAAGATGGCCTTTTAATACATGGATATGAACTTGAATGATACAATATTTTGTGATTTTCCTTGAATTGACAAAGTGGTCAGTAATTGACTTTATTTTAAGATTTAATTACTATGGTCCTTAAAACTATTCAGAAATAGTCAACATGCCAAATATTATCACCAAAACAAGTTCTCTGGGAATGCAACTCAAGAAGCATGCAATCCAATACTTTCTCACAAACAGGAAAAACAAGTTGCAAAAGACATGACTATTTGCATTGTATTACAACGGAAACTAAATCTAATGGGTTTCTTGAGTTTTCAATCATTTCCGCTATTTAGTTGAAAATCTTCCACGTTAGTATGTAAATAGACACATGTAATAAAGGAAGTGAATGTTTTTTTAATAATCAAGCTGTCATTGGTGGTTGGTTAATTTATTTATACCTATAAAACTGTTGTGCCTGGTGAATAATATTGTTTTTCCCTCACTGTTTTATACGTATATACCGTACCCGTAATTCACAAGTGCTGAGACTACCTGACAAAGCTTTGCGACCTTAGTGACTACCATATATAACACTGTCAGCACGATCAGAGAAATACATGCACCACTAATCAGCTCCTAATGTTCGCAACCAAATTTAAATTGTATTATTGAATGTATCTCAGTTACTGCTTCTAATGAACACAGTCTGGTACAACATTATGTTTGTAATGATACCTTTGTCACAAAACTGTGAATTTCTGATAAATATCTAAAAAAACAAACATGCAAAACAAATTCTAAGTAAAAAGCTGGTAAATTACTGTGTATAAGCACCGCAGTTATGATTACATCATGTACCTCACCCATATTCAATGTGGGTGTAAGCAACATGTTCCTCTACAATACATTGTTTGTTTGTTTGTTTGTTTATTTATTTATTTATTAAATTCAAACTCAATGCTGTGTGTCAATTTGTGTTTACTAATCAATACAGGCATCTAGTACTTCACATAGATAAATTATTTATTGTAAAACTCCAGGGAGTCAAAATGGACCCCCCCCCCCAAATCAAGTACCGTTAAAATCCTATTATAAACCGCGGTTTATATTACAATGTATCAAATAAAAAATTGGGATCAACAGCTCAAGTTCGGGGTGCGGTTTATATTAAGGACATATTGCAATCACTAGACATCCTAATACTACTGAACAATAAAGAGGTGTGAATATTTTTAGGCACGTTGTCGAAACAAATGAATAGGATTAGGAACAATGTACCAGCTCGTTGAAACAAAGTCGGTCACGGTTTTGTTGAATTGGGGGTGCGGTTAGTAATAGGTACTTTTCATGTTTTCAATTTTTGTTGAGAACTCTTTAACACTGAAGTCAAAATCGGGGGTGCGGTTACTATTAGGTATGCGGTTTATAATAGGATTTTAACGGTAGAGTTGGCTTATTGACTGAGAATTCTTTAAAAAAATAAATAAAAGTATAGGAGACTATACAGTTGACTTGAGGCACAAGTAAAAATTTCCTTTGTTTTTACACTTATATTGTTTATAAAATATGAATTTGTTTTACTCAATTAAAATAAAATGTTTTTCAAGATCACAATATTACTGTGAATGAAAAATGAAAAAGCAACTCAACCAGCAGTATTGCAATATAAATCACCGTTTTACAACTAAAAAAAATAACAATATTGATATTAGCATACCACAACAAACTGTTAGCTATCAACATTGTTATTTTGTTTACAATACAGTGAGATACTGTGGAATACTTTATTTTCGCAGGAATTAATTTTCGCTGAAAAGGCTTTTTGGGTGTTTTGCTTGGAATTTATTTTCACTGATTTTTGAAGAGATTATTGTGAAATATTGAAAAATAAGTATATTTGCCGGATTTTATTTTCACGGAATAATTCCTTCAGTGAAAATAGCGAAAATAAATTCCAAACGAAAATAAAGTATTCCACAGTATGTTGCATATTGTATATTGGGTTGCTTTTTCATTCACAGTAATGTATGATTTTCTGTTGTGACGCTGAAGCACCAGTGACTTAAGTAACTAGTTGCATCACAGCAAATATTTGCGAGTCCACTTAGAGGCGCTGACTAAGAGCATAAAGGTCACTTCTTGTTGATCCACTGATGATATATCTTAAAGGGCGGTCGGTGGTCGTCGTGCTGCGTCCTGTTCGATATGGGACTTATAGCAACGTATACAATGCATGTAAAACATATTTACATGAAACGCAAACACACACTGTCCAATGACTAACGTGCTTTAAAGTGCAACTATGACCAAAAGTTGCCATGGCAACTGTAAAAATAATGTCTTCAACATTTGTATTAGTACATTTTTTTAAATCAGGAATTCTGAAATAATTTTCTTATTGACTGAAACCTCCACAGAGTGTTCCTTCTATAAATGTTTGAGTTTTATCTAGTTGTATTAAACTAACCAAAACGTTTTTCTAAAAATAATATTCCAAGCCATTCAGGTGTTAATATTGCACTTTCAAAATATTAATTGTTTAAAATCTTACCTTTTTATCATATATCCCAATATCCCTGAAGGGATTGATAGCAACCAATATATCACCAACATAGGTCTGGTAATAACAAAACAATATTTTAAATAAAACATTTACTCGTAATACTATAGTTCCATAGTCGTATTTCTCAGAACTCAGAATAAAAGAAACAACACATAAAAGGTACTCATTATTGTGTTACTCATAAAAGTACGTGGTGTGTGGCTGTAGTATCTTTAACATCTATGACTCAGTGACTTGGAGTCGTGAATCGAATTCAATTTCTTGAGAGTATAATATATTTCTGACAAGTTATTCTATTTATAGAAATGTTAAAAGTAAAGTGATCAATGGTATCTTATTTCTACCTCCAGACTACCTTTAGCGTCGTATGTGGAATAATTACTTTTTAAAGTAAATATGGCGATCACATGATCGCATTGTACACACACTGTTTACAGCGAGGACACATGCCCGTTTCTTTAGTAGCTTTGTGCACACCGCGTTACGGCCAAGTCGTCTACAGATGTGGCAGATCGCCACTGAAACCAAAGACAATATTGTTGCCTTCGCTTTTCAGCAAACTAGCGAGCTAGCGAGCAGATACAAAATTAAAGCACTCACGTAAATTTGGTCCTTGCCATATCGATACCTCAATTCTTCTAAAAGAATGTTTTCATCCAAGTTCGCCAACGTTGTCAGATCATTAATCTGTCCAACTGGTGGTCGAGCCATTATGTTCGTCGTTACTGGGTGAGCTCTGTGAAGCGAATGTTCCGTCACGATGTAGTATTATTAGTAGTACCACCACAGTCTCACTAAGTTGTCTGTCCTGAGGTCGTGTCTGTCCTACAATAGGTGTGGTTATGTGTATTATGCAAATGAAGGTCAACTACATAACAGTCTTTCCCCAATTGGCTGTTGTTGATGAGTCACGTTTACTACGAACGCCCTTATTAGACAAACACATGTTACCCAAACTAAACTTTTGACGTCATACGTCAACTTTTGACGACATACAGTCAGCTGAGGCCGACTCACGCAACCCCTGCAAAGTAGGATATAAACTCCAATTAAATAAATAAAAATAAAATGAACCAGATTTCTATCTTTGAGAGTGTTATTCTACATAAAATTCAGAAACAAAGACTTGTTTCTAAGGTCTACGGTAGTATGAAGCGCATTGATCCGCAACACATGTGACAGAGCATGATAGCATGACTTTATCTAGCATGCGCATGCATGGGTTGAGTCGGTTGAGTGTGCTATGTCAATAGCGCCCTCTTGTGGCCACGGCATTCTTGATTTTGTTTTTCTCAGCAATGTTGTCAAGCTCCATAGAAGCTACAGCAAAAACCTGACCCGACAAATTTCTTCTTAAAAGGAAATATCACATAAAATTGCCACGACTAAGAAAAGCTGTACGGGTATTACCGGCATATTGAAATGTCAAACTATAATGTTCTAGCAAAGTGGCTCCGAATTCATGATCGAACACAAAACCGTGCGAACGACGATGACCAGTAAGAGGCGCGAACAATTTTGCCCAAATTTTCCCGAACCCGTGACACCACTTGCTTTTGAATAGTGGGTGACCAGCGGAACAAGTCAAATATTTAAATCAGGTTACACATTGGCCTGCCATTACAATTTGAATACATTTGTGGGCGATGATAATATGACATTATAATCAAAACTACGTGTTATTTTTCCTATGCAAAGGCAACACGTCT